AATTCAAAAGATAAAACTTTAAAAATGTATATATTTTAAGGATTTCTTTGTTTCATCAAACCAATTTATGTCATTTCTAACCATATCTAAGACATTATAATGGAGGGGAATAAAATTTAAATATTTATACAACATGTTAAGCATGCAAAAATGACACGTCACAAAATGTCACGAGAAAACGTTGACATTTTCCACTAAAACATGTATAAAATTTGTATTCCATGACAAATTCTGGTCAAAACTATTGTTTTTATCTCTACAGCTTAAAATTGAAACTCTACTACATTCATAATTTGTTATAAACAGATATATGGAAAAATATGTCCCAAAAAGTCACGGACGTTATTAATTACTCAATAGCTCAGAAGCACCCATATGCGAAGTGCGCATGCGCATACGCATCCTATATCATATATTTCGCAGGTCAGAAATTTCGCTCACAAACACGAGCTGTGATTAGTCGGGTCGGGACGCATGCGCATACGCGTACGCATGCGCATAGGCATCCTATCTCAGATATATCGCAAGTCAGAAATTTCGCGCTACACCGGCCGAACTTTTGTACGGGAGACAGATCAGGTCGAAAATGAGTGGTCAGAGGGAAACATTCAGAGTAAGAAAGACTTAGCTGCAAAAGACAGGGATGCAGAATCAAAGCAAAAGACCACTGACTATGCGGATAATCGCAGAAACGCGCGCGAAAGCGACCTCACCGTCGGAGACCAAGCCCTCGTGCGACAACCACGTCAAAACAAACTGTGAACTCAGTTTGCCGAAAAGCCGCTTATTGTCGTAGAGAAGACCGGCAGCCAGGTGACCGTTGAATCCGATTTTGGCACGCGGTACAAACGCAACACAGCGCATCTGAAAAAGTTTGTGGCCGACCCTGGAATCGTCGTTGGGCCTGACGCCAACCCAGGTCTGTGATCAAGTTCCGCAAGGAGAGATGGAGACACCAGAACCTGAAGTTGTCATCGAGACACCACCCAGTCCTGTTTCACCTAGTGCTATTCCACACAGTCCTAGAGCGTTTACTTGGACCGGAAGACCGATCAGAGAGGAGCGTCGTCCCCCAGCTAGATTCAAAGACTTTAACATGAGTGTGGAAGACAATGACTCTGTACATGTAGTAAAGTGACTCTGTGTATGCGATGTGAACCGTTATAGTTGTTTCACTGTAAAATCATTAGTCATTCCGCTATAAATAATTAGTATGATTAGTTGAGGAAATTACAAAGTTAAGTGTTAAGTGCAAAGACTGCGCTGTAGTTTAATCTTAGTTGTCAAGTTATTTAGTTGTGAGAAAGTTAATTCGGGAGAATTCTTGAGTTACAGAGTAATTCTGGATAATACCTATGTCTGGGGATTTACATTTAATTTCTGAGAAAGGAAGGGAATTAGTGTTTGACAATACAACTTTGCG